TGCCCTTTTCCTCTCTGAGGTTAAGGAGCAAGAAATGGGCATTAATTCATGGCCCAAATACTTTACAGTTTGGCTTGCTATTTGGACTTTGTTCAAAGAGCCCCATAGCCTCAAGTGCCCAAGAAATTAAGAGCTCCTGTAGCAGCAGCCAAAGAAGCATCCCCAGTAGGGCTACAAATGAGAATATTGTCCACGTACCGAATTAAACTACTATCTGTTAGTTCCAAGTCTCTCAAATCTCTTCCCAAAGCCCCGCCAAATAAATGAGAGCTATCTCAAAAGTCTTGGGGCAAGAATGTCCATGTTAGCTGACATGGACTTGATTTCTCAGGGGTGTCCATCCAAAGCCAAAAACAAATTATGAGTTTGTGTGATGAGGTATGCAGAAAAAGGTGTCTTTGAAATCCAGGGTGGAAAACCATTGGGTGACCCCAGGGATCTGAGTGAGTATAATATATGGGTTAAGGGCTATGGGTGTATTGAAATAACAGCTTCATTAATAGCCCTGAGATCTTGAACCATTCCGTATTCTCCATTAGGCTTTTTTTTACAAGAAGGATAGGGGTGTTACATGCGGACTGGCAAGGGACATGGATTTTATACTTAAGGAATTTTTCAATCAATGGTTGCAGCCCCTTCCAGGCCTTGGGCTTAATTAGATATTGACAGTGATTAGGGTCTTGGAGGCATCAGTCTTGGGGGTTTCCTGGGGGGGCACCCTGGAAGAGCACTTGTTGGACCAGTGGCCTGCCTTGCAGCATCAAAAGCAGGTTTCCCCACCGCCCGAGTCACCAGGAACACCACTGAGTCTTTTCCTAGACATAACAGCAGCCAAGAATTGAGCCTGTTCCCTGTCTCTAGCCCTATCCCTGCGTTCTTTCTCCTCTGCTGCAACTAGGTCTCTGTTCTTAAAGGCTCCGAAGGCTGTCTACAGCAATTGGGCATGAGGTGTTTGGGATCCCATTGCCAGTTCCTGCAGTTTCCTCCTAATATCTGGGGCGGACTGATTAATGAAATACATGCCAAGGATTGCTGCTCCTTCTGTAGAGTCAGGATCTAAACTTGTGTATTTCTTAATAGCTTTTACCAGCCAGTCCTGGAAAAGGGCAGGGTTTTCCTTTTCTCCTTGAATTTCCTTAATTTTTTGAAATTTATTTGCTTCTAAAAGCCTGTTCTTAGGCCTTCTAACAGGCAAATCACCATATGGTCTCTCTTTCTCCTATCCTCACTCTTCCCATAGTCCCATCCCGAGTCAGTAGCAGGAACAGCAGCCATTCCTGGGGTGGGGGAGGAGGTTATTTTTGTGGGGTCAGAACTAGTCAAATGGTCCCCAAACTTCTGGGTCTGTTGCCAGATTTTCCTCTTCTCCTCAGTGGTACAATAGGTGGAGAAGAGGATATGCAAATCTTTCCAAGAGAGCTCAAGCTGAAGAGACACATCCCTAAAGCCCTCAGTAAACTTTGTGGGATCTTCAGAATATCAACCCAGTTTCTCTTTAACCTGAATGAGGTCTGAGGTAGAGAATAGTGCATGCACTCTAATTGTCCTACTGTGTGAGCAGCTACTTCTCTTAGAGGAAAAAGTCCTGAAGATGCTGTGGAATTAGGGGCTTGGGAGGAAGGGAGATAGGAAGTCCCATTTCTTGTGAGGGAGCGGCTAGGGAGTGCTGGCTGAATTGAATTGGACTGCAAGGCTGGGGGATCTGGTGGGCAAGAGGAAAGATCAGCTGGCACTGAAGGAGGGGGAGGGCTCAGAAGAGGAGATGCAGGGTAGGAGACAGGAAAGAGAAGGGAGCATGAGAGGAGAAAGGAGGGAGAAAGAGGCAGGTAATGAGAAGGGAAGGGCTAGAGGAGAAGGGAAGGAAAATGAGGGAAAAGAGAGGGTGGCCAAAGAAGGGGGTATGTGGGAAACAGGGGAAGGGTTAGGGAAAGTGGGAGCAGCAGAAGGGGACAGGAGAGAAAGGGGAGCAGCAGGAGGAGGCAGGGGAAAAAGGAGAACATCATGAGGGGGTGGGGGGAAAGGGGGAGCAGCAGGAGGGGGTGGGGGAGAAGGGGAACAGCAGGAGGGGGCAGGGGAGCAACAGAAAGGGGTAGGGGAGAAAGGGAGGGGATGGGAGCAGGGGAGGTGGTGGGAATGGAAGCAGGGAAGGGGGGGGCTGAAGCCCTGGGGGCCACAAGAAGGGGGTAGTCTAAAATATCGAGTTGGCCCCCATTCCCCTTTTGTGGAGTGGCTTGAGCTATGAGCATCTTACAATCTTTTCTGAGAATAGGGTCCTGAGAGAGCTCCATAAATGACATTATGTAGGATATTTCCATCCATTTCCCTTCTCAGCAACAGTATAAATCTAGCTGTATGAGAGTATTGTACTGTAAAGACCCCAAAATGGGCCCATGTTTCTTGTTCTTCCAGGTAATATTGAGGCCAAGATGTGTTGCAAAGAGCACAAGCTTTTTCTTTTTAAGTTCTTTAGAGAAACTAAACTTTTTCCAATTTTGTAAAAGAAACCCAAAGACAAATTTTTGGGAATTGAAAAAGATTGACCCATCACATGTGCAGGGGCTGGGAGCCCCTCTGTAAAGGAGGATCCCATAGTAAACCTCAGGAAACAAACAAACAAAAAAAGCACTTGCAGTTTTCCCAATTCTCTAGCGTCCTAGATAATTGAGAGAATTGGACACACACTTCTAAACAGGAACTTTGGAAGCAGTGTCTGGTTCTGAGCAGCCTAATAACTGTCTGACTCAAGTGGAACCTGAGAGCTCAGGCCTGAAAAGTACCTCCAAGCCTTCCTACATACTTGGACAGCAACCCCAACTGCAGAGTGAGAAAGAGATAGGGAGAGAGGGGGGAGGCTTATATACCTTACAATCTTGGCTGGAGAAGAGCTTGAGGTTAGGCAGCTTCTTGGTCAGGTAACCATATGTTTTGGTCTAAGGGTGCTGGGAAAGTTGAAATGCAAGGGCAAAGGGTGAGGGTCTACTTCAAAAGAATTTGACCACTCAAGCCTTCTTTCAGTCAGAGACAAGGTTTAACGTGTTGTCAATAGAAGCAGGCCAGATTTTAAGAATCTGAGCAACTTAATGGGATCAAGATGGACACTTTTATACAGAAAGACTGTGGGAAGACCTGGATGGGATCTAGGGGTGGCAAGAAGCATGGGGTGGTCTGGAGGTAACAGAGACAAGGGTCTAGATGGGATTGAGGAGTGGCAAGTAGCCTAGGGTGGGTCAAGTACAGAAAACAAGGGCCACAGTGAAAGGGCAGTTAAAAGGATTACTGACTGGGAAGGGCCAGGTGCCTCAGGCAAATGCCAGAGATCTGGGTTCAGGGGCTGGATTGTGTGGGAAAGTTTCAGGGGCTTCTTAGGGGGTCCAGATCCCATCCCCATAAATTCTAAGATATGGAGATGAGGAGGCAGTGAATGGATGTGGTTTTTTTTTTTGTTTGTTTTTTTGCTTTTTTTGGTGAGGCAATTGGGGTTAAGTGACTTGCCCAGGATCACACAGTTAGTAAGCGTCAGGTGTCTGAGACCAGATTTGAACTCAAGCCCTCCTGACTCCAGGGCCAGAATGCTATCCACTGTGCCACCTAGCTACCCCTGGATGTTTCTTTTTAAAATTTTTATGTCATCTAAATTCCTCCAAGAATCCTTTCCTCCTCCCCAGAAAGTCATTCCTTATAATAAAGACTATTTTTTTCAATGAGGAGTTTTACATTTTCTTTTATTTTTTCATTCTTTTGATTTTGTCTTACTGATCTTGACGTCTCATAGAGTCATTAGCTTCCAATTGCCCAATTCTAATTTTTTTTTTTTAGGCAGTTGGGGTTAAGTGACTTGCCCAGGGTCACACAGCTAGTATCAAATGTTTGGTCTGAGGTCAGATTTGAACTCAGGTCCTCCTGACTTCCAGGCTGGTGCTCTATCCACTGTGCCACCTAGCTGTCCCCTAATTCTAATTTTTAATGAATTGTTTTGTCCTTCCTTTTCTAAGACATTGACTCTCTCTTGCATACCTCTCATTTCTTTTTCCAGTTTTTCTTCTACCTCTCTCATTTGATTTTTAAAATCCTTTTTGAGCTCTTCCAAGAAGGCTTTTTGGACTTGAGACCAGTTCACATTCCCTTCTGAGGTTTTAGATGTGGGTATATTCACAATGTTGTCCTCTCCTGAATTTGTGTTATGATTTTCCCTGTCACCAAGATACTTTTCTATGGTCATTGTTTTTCTATGTTGCTTCTTGCTCGTGTTTTTGCCTTTTTTCAGGTTTTTAAAGTTGATCTCTGCTTCTGGGGCACAGGGAGCACTGTCCCAGTGCTGGGGGCAAGGGGCCTGGTTAATGGTTTGCTAAGGTGCTTGCCACTGGCTTGCTGGGATGCCTCCCTTCCTGTACTGGTCCCCTTCAGCCACAGCAACCTTTCCCGTTGATCCTCCTAGCCTCACGAACTAAAAGACTGCTGTACCTAGTCTTTCTGCTGACTCTACTATTTCAGGATTTTTCCTGGGTCAATATTCTCTGGGTTTTTAAAGGTCAATAAGGGAGGGTGAGAGAGACTTACTGCTTACTCCACCATCTTGGCTCCTGGAAATCTAAACAGGTGACTTTTAAACATTGTCTGGGGGCTAATAGCTCCAGGAGCAGTGCTACCATTGCTGCCACCACTGCTGCTGCAACTGCTACTGATTCAGTCACTCTCAAGGCCTGATCCTGGTCCACTGGTGCAGGGGCTATATCGGCACACCCTGAAGCCCTGCTCTGGACTGCACTTCTCTCTCACCCAGTTCTGACAGACCCCACCCCAGCTGACCTTCTAAGTTGTCTGTGGTGTCTGTGGGCTGAGAAGACTAGAACCTGCCACTGCTGCTGGTGATTCAGTCCCCAGAAGCCTCCAAAGAATATTTTTTTTAAAAGAAAAAATAAAATGTGAATGAAGAGAAAAAAAATAATCAGTGAGATATCATTACCTTGAAAAAGTCTAAAAACAGAAGCAATGTTCCACACCTGTGGACCTCCCACCCCTGCAAAAGGAGCTGAGAGGGGAGGCGTCTTCTCTTATCTCCTTCTCAGGCATGCTTATCTTAGTCAGTCAATAAGCATATATGAGCACCTACTATGTGTAAATGTTGGGGGATACAAAAAGAAGCAAAAGACAGTCTCTGCCCTCAAGGAGCTTATAATCTAATGAGGGAGATGACATAGGAGAGGCTGCAGTATGATGGCATCTGCCTCACTTGGCTGATAATTAGCACAGGCAGGACTCAAACCTAGGTCTTCTTTCTTCAAAACCTAGTGCTCTTTCCATTATACTGAGACCAACATCTAGGAGTCCCAAAACTTGGGAAGGAGATCAAGGAACAGAGTGAGGGGGGGGGGGGGGGGGGGGAAAGAGTAAGTATAGAAAAGTATAGGAAAGAGGAAGTTTAGAGTTTGAAGAAGCCTCCTAAAGTGACACCACAGCCAAGGCCTCAACTGGGGTTCCTGAGGTCCCCTTGCCTTGTCCCACACCAGGATTGCCTGTGGACAGAGGCCTGAACTGGACTTGAGCTGTACCAGAGGACCCATGTGATGACAGCAACAGCAGCAGCAGTTTTGGGAGCTCTCAACCCAGAAATGGTAAGGGCAGACAACTGGTCAGAAAGAGGGGACCCTTTGCTGGCTGGCACTGGGTACAATGGGTAGTGATTTCCAACTCTATTACCCCTATGCAGTTCTAGGTCACAGTTCCAGGGTGGAGAGGAGGGCTTGTGATTGGTCACAAGGGAGCAGGGATCTGGTTAGGCCAAGAGAAATGTTAGTGCTTGTGGCCGCAGAGGAGCAAGGGGCCTTCCTGGGTAAAGGCCAGAGCACAGACCAGGAGAGTAGTGACCACACCACTACCTGAATCACTCTGCCTTGGAAGCACCTACAACTTACAGACCCCTAGAACTGGCTCTGAAAACACCATCATGAAAAAGCCTGAAGCTTGGGACAGTGCCTTTCCACCCTACAATGATCAGAATCTAATTTTAACATTAAGTTCAAAGTTAAGAAATAGGCTAGAAAAATGAGAAAACAGCAATAACAACAAAAATAAAAAGCTACTATGGTGGCAGGGAAGACCAAGACATAACTCAGAAGATAATGTGAAAAGAGATACAAGTAAAGCCTCAAAGAACAATGCTAATTGAACCCAAGCACAACAAGAATTCCTGGAAGAGTTAAAGAAGGAGATAAGGCTGGTAGAGGAAAAACTGGGAAAAGAAATGAGTGATGCAAGAAAATTATGAAAAGAGGATTAGCAGTTTGGTAAAAGAGGCACAAAAATTCGCTGAAGAAAAGAACTCCTTAAAAAGCAGAGTTGGTCAAATAGAAGAAGAGGTACAAAAGCTCACTGAAGAAAATAATTCCTTAAAAATTAGAGTTGGGCAAATGGAAGCCATAAGACATCAAGAAACAATAAAACAAAGTCAAAAGAATGAAAAAAATGAAGAAAATGTGAAATATCTCATTGGAAAAACAGCTGCCCTGGAAAATAGATCCAGGAGAGATAATTTAAGAATTATTAGACTACTTGAAAGTCATGATAAAAAAAAAAATCCTAAACATGTTGTTTCAAGAAATTATCCAGAAAAACTGCCCTGATATGTTAGATTTAGAGGGCATAATAGAAATTGAAAGAATCCACTGATCATCTCCTGAAAGAGATCCCAAAATGAAAACTCCCTGGAATAGTATAGCCAAATTCCAGAGCTTCCAGGTCAAGGAGAAAATATTGAAAGCAGTTAGAAATAAGTAATTCAAATACTGTGGAGCCTCAGTCAGAATCACACAAGATTAAGGAGCAGAACTTGGAATATGATATTCCAGAAGGCAAAGGAACTAGGAGTACAACCAGTAATAACATAGCCAGCAAAGCTGAGTGTAATCCTTGGTGTGTGTGTGTGTGGGGGGGGGAGATGGATAATTAATGAAATAGAAAACTTTCAAGCATTCCTGATGAAAAGACTAGAGCTGAATAGAACATCTGACATTCAAACACAAGACACAAGAAAAATATAAAACGGTAAACATGAATGAGTAATCAGAAGAGACTCAATAAAGTTAAACTCTTTATATTCCTATATGGGAAGATGGTACATGTGACTCCTAAGATCTTTATCATTATTAGGGCAGTTAAAAGAAGTTTACATAGACAGAGGGCACAGGTGTGAGTTGATTATATTGGAATGATTTCCAAAAAAATGAAGAGGTGATAAAGAGGGATGTACTGGGAGAAGGGGGAAGGGAGAGGTAGAATGGGGAAAATTTTCTCACATAAAAAAGTGAGAGCTCTTACAGTGGAGGGGAAAATGGAGGAGTGGCAGGCAATACTTGAACTTCACTTCCATCTAAATTGGTTCAAAGAGGGAAGAATACACACACACGTAGACATACACACTCAGTTGTATATAGAAATCTAGCATACTTAATAGGGAAACAGGAGGGGAAAGGGGCAAAAAAAATGGGGATGATAAAAGGGAGGATGGGTTAATGGAGGCAGTGTGTAGAGACAAAATAGACTTTTGAGGAGGGACAGGACAAAGAGAGAGAGAAGCATAAAGAGAAGAAAAAGGAATGGATGGAAATACAATTAGTAATCATGACTGTGATTGTGAATGGGATGAACTCTTCCATAAAAAGGAAGCAGATAACAGAATGGGCTAGGAACCAGAATCCAGCAATATGTTTTTGGGAGACTCATTTGAAACATACATGAGTTAAAAATATACACAGAAAAACATACACAGAGTTAAAAAATAAAGGGCTAGAGGAGAATCTAATATACTTCAGCTAAATTAAAAAAAAGAAGGGTAGCAATCATGATCTCAGACAAAGCAAAAGCAAAAATAGACCTAATTAAAAGAGATAATCTTTTTGCTAAAAAGAGATAATACATTTTGCTAAAGGTACCGTAGAAAATGAAGTAATATAAAAAATTACATAGCAAGTTTCTCCGATAAAGGCCTCATTTCTCAAATATATATGTAGAATCGAGTCAAATTTATAAAAATAAGAGCCATTCCCCAATTGACAAATGGCAAATGACAAAGGATATGAACAGGCAGTTTTCAGAAGAAGAAATCAAAGTTATCTAAAGTCATATAAAAATGCTTTAACTCATTATTGATTACAGAAATGCAAATCAAAACAGCTCTGATGTATTACCTCATACCTATCAGAAATGACAAATGCTAGAGGAGATGAGGGAAAACTAATGCATTGCTGGTGGAGTAGTGAATTGGTCCAACTATTCTGGAGAACAATTTGGAACTATGACCAAAGGGTTATAAAACTATGCATACTCTTATACCCACTACTAGGTCAGTGTCCCAAAGAGATCAAAGAAAAAGGACACACATACAACACACACACACACATGCACACAAACACACACATACACATAGACATATTTACAGCAGCTTTTTTTGTGTTGGTAAAGAATTGGAAATTGAGGGATACTTATCAATTGGGGAATGGCTGAATAAGCTGTGGCCTGTGATTGTGATAGAATACTGTTGTGCTATAAAAAATGACAAGGGGGTGATTTCAGAAAAAACATTGCAAGACTTATATGAACTGATGCGAAGTGAAGTGAGAAGAACTGGGAGACCATCGTGCACAGTAACAGTAATGTTGAAATGATGATCAACTGTGAAAGCCTTGGCTATTCTGAGCATTACACTGATCCAAGACAGTTTCAAAGAACTCATGATGAAACATGGCTATCCATCTCCAGAGAGAGAACTGATGAACTCTGAGTACAAATTGAAGTATAATTTTCTCACTTTAGTTTTCTTGCTTTTTTTTTTGCAATATGACTAATATGGAAATATATTTTGCATGATTTCATACGTGTAATTGATATCACATTGCTTGCCTTCTCAGTGGGTAGGGGAGGAGGTAGAAGGGAGGGAGAGAATTTGGAACTCAAAATTTAAAAATTAAAAAAAAAATTGCAAAAAATAAATAAATAATAACTTAAAAAAAAAAAGAATTGTACCAGAGGGGTGTGTTGAAGCTAGTTCAACCCAGTTTTTGGAGAGCTCATTGTTAAATCTTCTGTGTGATAGTTTGGAAATCAGAAAATGCCACAAATCAAGGTTTGATTTATTGTTTTGTCAATTTTTTAGACTTAAGGAAGTCAGACAGAAAATATGAATAATGCAGATTAAACTTAAAGGTGTGTTCTATGTACTTCTCCCTCCCTCTACACAGCTGGTTGTTAAACATTTATTAGTATTCTCCTGGCTGTCCCTGAGTAGCTATCTGAGAGTGGGAAAGAAGAGGACCAGGAAGAGAAAAAGTAATGGAAGGAAAAGGGAGGTGGGAGAAGACAGAAAGGGAATGTAGGGGAGAGGGAACATATATATAGAGGGAAAGGCAAGATAATCTCTAAGTACAAAGAGGAAATAGAGAAATGGGAAGAAAAGGAATAGAAGAGAACTAGGTGAGGTGAGAATTGTTTGTACCTGTGCTTACTCTCAGCTCATTCCCTTCAACCATTCTACACACCCAACTCTGTTTACTGGTCTCCTCTCAAATCTAAACTAAGACTTCCAACAGCTTCATCCTTCTCAACATCACCTTCACTTCCATCCTTTTATTTAGCACTGCTAAATAAACAGATGGCTCTGTTTCTGTCCTCCTTTCCCCTGCTGCCCTAGCTATTTGTCTCTACCACTCCTTTCTCCCCACAAAAGAATGGAATTGGTGAGCCATTCAGGGCTCCCATCTTTTTGGTGTACACATGACTATGGGTCCATACACACAGGACCAGTCTTAAATTATTAATAATAACAGTTGAAGGAAAGCCTCAGCAGATACTGCCCAGGGTCACAGGGACACAGACTGGATAAGAGCACAGAAGCGGATGCCAAACCAGGAAACACAGGTCTAAGAAATTAGGTTTCTGAAACTCCTAGATCAAGAGTGACTGGTGGCTGTCACAGCTGCTGTGACTATAGTCCCTAAAATGCATCCTGTGCCACAGCCCTTGTTCAGTGAGTTGAGGCTCCAAGGACCCAAAGGGGAAGGGAGTGAGAGGCAGAGGAAGATAAATGGTGAGGCTTGGGGGGTAGGGGAGAAGGAGAACAGGGACTCCCCTCCAACTAGATTGTAAGGCTGCTTGAGGCCACAGATATTGTTCTAATACATCTTTGCATGTCTCTAAGTTTGCACGTGGTAGACAGGTGTTAAAAGAAAGCAGTTTGTGTTAAATGGCTAAAGCCAGGAAGCCCAGAGTACAAACCTGGTCTCAGACACTCACTAGTTGTGTGACCCTAGACCAGTCACTTAACCACTGCCTGCCTCAGTTTCCTCATCTGTAAAATAGGGATAATAATGTGGTCTCACTTCTCAGGGTTGTGGAGAAGATACAATATTTGTAAAACAGCATATAAATTCTTATATTATTATCTATGATGATGACGATAGTAATAATACAATAATAATAATAATGATAATAAAGGCTCTTGGGGCCTCGGAGATGGATGGTCGGGTCCTCAGTCCCTGGCAGTGCCTAAGTGGCGCTGCCTTATCTTCAGAAATGACCAAAGGGCAGAGAGGGAGGGGGATGGGGCTGTGAGAAGGGGGAGGAGAACTCCGCCCCTCTTCCACCTTCCCTTCCGGCCTCTCCCAGCCACCTTCCCAGGGCGGCGTTGCTCGGGCTCCAGTTGCCGGGGCAACGCCAGGGCGCCGCCAGCGCGCGCGCACTCCTATAAGAGGCTGGGCGGCTCGCGCAGCCGGCAGAGCGGCTTCGGCGCCGACTAGGAAGCGGGGCGGAGGAGAGAGGCTCGTGAGGCGGCAGCGTGCGCAGTTGGCTGTACCGCCGGGTGTCCCGCGGGCGCTCCCGGCCCCCTGTACGTCCGGGCTCAGTGTCCGCGTCCCACCGTTCCTCGCCGGGGCTGCGCGGGCTCAGGTAGGTGGTGAGCCCGGGCCAGGGCGCGGAGCGGGCAGTGCCCAGGTGCCCGGGGGCGGTGGCGGGGGGTGGAGGGGAGCGGCCCTGACGTGGCCGGCGCGCCCTTCCCACTCCGGAGCCCTGGTCGGCCCAGCCCGGGCGGGGGTGACTCGGGCTCCACAGCCCCAAGTGAATATGTCACACGGGGTCCGAGGAGTGAGTGGCTTCCCACGCTCACTGGAGCCCCCGTGCAGTCCTGGGCGGCGAGTGCCTCAGTTTCCTCTTCTTTAAATTGCTTCCCCTCCCCATCACCTGGGATTATGTTGAGGAAAAGACACCTGCTGCTGGAAGGTGGAGCCGCCTTGTTATTTTCGGCCGCACCACTTCTCTGGGAACATGCTTTCCAGAAGAACATACTGCATTTTGGAAGTTCTGAAAGTCAACAGGTTGCAGAAGTCAGATCCTCCGATAAAAACAGCTGGTATTTATGGAGTCAGTCAGTCAGTTAGCATTAGTTACGCACTTACTATGTGTCAGTCACAGTGTGAGTGCTGAGGATAAAAAGGTAAAAGACAGTCCTTGCCCTCCATGAGCTCACAGTCTAATGGAGGAGACAACCTACAAACAGCTACCTACAGACTATATATTGAATAAATTGGAAATAATCAGTAGAAAGAGGGCAAGAGCATTAAGAAGGATTGGGAAAGGCTTCATTAGAAGGTGAGGTTTAAACTGGGACTTGAAGGAAGCCAGGGAAGTCAGTTGAAGGAGAGCATTCCAGGTGTAGGGGCCAACCAGTGAAAATAATTGGATTTCAAAGATGGAGTGTCTAAAAGATGGAATAAAATAATTCAGGGGACAGCAATGGGGTCAGTGCAAAGCGTTTTGCGTGCCTGTCCTCTTTTCTACTCCCAAAAAATCTGTGAGGTAAGTTGCTTAGGTTTTTCTCATCTTCATTTTCTAGATAGAGAAACTGAGGCACAGAATAGTTAAATGACTTGTCCATGGTCACACTATAAGGCAGAGAGGTAAAGTGGAATACTACTGAGTAACCTAGAGTCTGAGGACATAGGTTTGATTTCTGCCTCTGACAATTATCTTTGTAACCTTGGCCAAATCACTTAACCTTTCTTGACTTCTTCAAGTGCACAATAAGGAGGTTGGGTTGGATGGCCCCTGAGGTTCCTTCCAGCCCTATATCTCTTTTCTTTTCAGTCAGCACAATTAGAATAAGTGCCAGAGATGGGTTATGAGGCTCTAATCCAGTCTCTAGATTTCAAGTCCCAGGTTTCTTTCCGTTATATCACATTGCCTCATTCCACTTTTTGTCAGTGGGTGTCTTGGATGAGAGGTGATGGGCAGACTTCAGTATGCTAACTGTGCTGTCCAGATCAATTCAGACATCTCTTCAATGCTGTGTGTATGCTAAGTGCTTGTGATACAAAGACAAAGAAGCAAAATCTGCCTCAGAGAATTTCTGTTTTATTGGTTTGAGTCCGTATTTTCAATTTTAGATGTCCTTAACATCTTAAGAAATGGTGCACTGAGCCTATTCCTTCCCAGGAGCTCAGTGTCTGAGAGCCAAATCCTCTGCTGTGCCTTCTTTTCCATAGCAGTCTAGGGACCTTTATCTATGATTTTCTGCTGACATGTTTCCAAGGAGCCTCCTTTTCTCTCATGAGAATAATTGTAATGGCTTACATCATATTTTATAATATATTATGTATATTATGTATAATATAATATATAACATATAATATTAGTATAATATAATATATTATATAATATATTTATAATATATTAATATTATATATATGCATATATAATATGTTATGTAGCATCTTCTTCACATCTCGAGGCACATAGTGCAAGTGTTATTATCCTGCTTTATAGATTTCTATTTTACAGATGAAGAAACTGAGGTTGTCATTGAACTTCCTAACTCAATTCAGCCATTATCAGCCCTAATTTTTCCTGACTCAGAATTTAGTGTCCATTCTGCTGCATTAGGCTTGCTCTTTTTCAGAAGAGCTGATTGTATCTCTATCATATCTGTTTCAATCCAATTTAATCCTTGCCATTAATGAGAAGAGCCTTCTGCCGAGGGAAGAATACATCCTTGAGGGCTTTTTACTAAGCCTGGCCACTTGCTTCCCTGCCTTCAATTTCCCTCCACCTGCTGCCTGCAGGTGTAGCATATGCTTTGTCTCATCTCACAAAATAAGATTAAGTTTGGTTGCTTTTTAATTAAGCGCAGTAAGGTTGAACTGGGGAAAGCAGAAGGAGGCTGTTTTTAGCTTATTTTCCAGCCCTGGAGGTGGCCAGTGTTCCTGTTCAATTGCATTAGATGGAGTCTGGTCAGGGAATGGGGAGAAGATTGACGTGGCTCAATAAGACTTGAAGTTGCCAGAGTTGCTTTGTACATCCTCCATCATCCTGCTGTTTCAGACAGAGTTCATGACTGGTAGGAAAGTTGGCTGTGAGAGTTCCTGAAAGGCTCTTGTTGGCTTATTTTTTACTCTAACCCTGAGAGTTTGGGTGACCTGCAGGTGAATGTGGTCAGACCTGTTACTTTTACATCTCTCTTTAGTGGATGTGAAAACTTGATGGGGGAGGGAAAATGGGGAAGAGCTGCTTTCTTGGGCCTGTGACACTTCTGCCCTGTTCCTATAATGATGATAATAATAATAATACCAATAGTTGGCATTTACATAACACTTTAAAGTTTGCAAAATGCTTTACAATATGTTATCTCATTTGACCTTCTCAACAGCTGTCCGAGGTAGGTGCTGTTATTGCCACCACTCCATTTTACAGATGAAGAAACTGAGGCTGAGTGGGATTAAAAGCTTGCTCAGGGACACGGAACTAGTCATTGTTAGAGGTGGAATTTGCACTCTGGTCTTCCTGATTCCAGGTCAGGCACTCTGTCCACTGAGTCATCTAGCTGCATCTGGAATTGTATGAGTTAGGGACTCTAGATGCTGGAGCCACAACCATGGCTTACCCTAGCCCAGAAGGTTGTGGAAGATGATGCTTTGCCCATTGTCCAGAGAGGATACTGGAGCTTGGTAGCCTAAGGCAGTGGGGAGGTGGGGGGGTGGTGTCACCTTTTTTGTGGCCTGGACTCCCTGGGCAGTCTAGGGAAGTCTAGAGACCCTTCCTCAGAATAATGTTTTTAAACATATACAATAAAATATTTAGGATTACCAAGGAAACCAATTATATTAAAATAAAGCTATCAAAATATTAAGAAGCAAAATCATGGACTTCAGATTAAGAAATTCTGGCCCAACAGAACTGGCCTGATTTGCAAATCAATCTTTTATGGTTTTATGCTTAGCAAATACAGACATTATTACTGTTACTACTACTATAGAAAATAGATATTCCTGAAAGGCCTTGAGTAGGTCAGATTTCTACATACAGCCATTTTAATGCATTACAAGGTTTGCTGAAAGGATGCAACAAGTGAAACCATCTTAAGTTTTGATTTTGAACTTTACAAAACAAAAAAAGTCCAAATTTTCATACATTAGTTTTGCTTTCAAGTGAGATCACCTTTAGCAGAGCCACAAAACATCCTTTATTTGATTTGGTATAAAAAGAATTATTAGATTATATTGATCTTTTCAGAAGCACCAACAATGATTATTGGAAGCAAAAGCTTCTTCTAACCTGAAGGGTTTTTATATCTTTTAATATATTATATGTTGCTTATAAAAAATAATAGCTCACATTTATATATCTCTTTATGGTTTACAAAGCCCTTTACATAATAAACCTGATTCAGTTCAATTTACATCTGGCCTCAGACATATACTTATTTGTGTGACTGGACAATGCTCTTTGCCTCAGTTTCCTTATCTGTAAATGGGGATAATAATAGCACCTACCTTCTGGGGTTGTTGTGAGGATCAAATAAGATAATTGTAAAGTGCTTTGCAGATTTTAAATCAATGTATAAATGCTAGCAATGATGATGTACCTACTATGTGCTAGGACTGTACTAGTCTCTGGGGATATAAAAACAAATTCAGTGCCTTCAGGGATGAGATGGGAGGAAAATGTGGGGGGGGGACACCAAAGTATACATGGAAAATTAGATAAAAAATTTATACAGAGTAATTTCTAGGCTTTTTGTAGGAGAGGGCACTTGAGCTGAGCTTTAAAGAGAACTCATAGCTAGCACTTACATAGTACTTTTAGGTTTGTGAAGCACTTTATATATGTTATCTCATTTGACCCTTGAAACAATGGGAAGTAGGTGGTATTATCCTCATTTTACAGATGAAATTGAGGTGGAAAGAGATTAATCGATTTACTTGTCACACACAACTAAGTGTCTGAGGTTGGGTTTGAATTTAGGTCTTCACGACTCTAAGACCAAAAGTCTGTCTACTTTGCCACTTAGCTCCCCAGGGGAGGTAGGAATTCTACAAGGCTGAGCGAGGTGAGGAGGCAGGGCATTCCAGAGGTGGGGGACAGCCTGTGCAGAAGCATGAGCCCAGGAAATGGGCTGTAAAGGAATAGCAAGCAAGCCAATTTGATAGGAAGACAGAATATGTGAAGGAGAGAAATGTGCAGTAAGCCTTAAAAGATAAACGGGAGTTAGATTGTAAAGGGCTTTAAAAGACAAATAGAGGAGTTAGATGAAAGTGAGAGTGAGCCCCTGGAGTCTCTTGAGAGACAGCATAGTGACATTGACCTCCTTGTTGTTTCTTGAACAAAAACTCTTCTCTTGATTCCATGAATTTTCACTGTCCCTCCATGTCTGGCATGTACTCCTTCCTCATTTCGGCCTCCTGTTGATTTTCTTCAATGGCAGTCTCAGTATTAGGAAGCTCATAGTTAAATTTCTGCCTCTTGACATAATAAGTTCTGTGACTATGGTCATCTAATCTCTTGTAGCCACAGTCTCCTTATATGTAAAATGCAAATAATAAAAGCACCTACCTCATAGGGCTGTGGTGAGGATCAAATGATTTGATATATTCAAAGTGCTTTGAAAACCTTAAATT